ATATTTGTGAAAAGTATACAACATTAATTTCGTATTTTCCATTATTCCCCACAGGTTGGTTTCTTTTAGCTTGGCGACCAAGCAACGGCTTGACGATGAAATCGATCATGAGGTCATACTGATTCTGGAAAACGAAATGCCAACCATTCTCGGATCGATGGATTGGGATGAGAAGTGGAAATGCCACATTGCCATGAAAGGCAATTTAATTTCATTTGCGCAATAACGGCCGAAGAAAAAAAATAAGACGTGTTCGGAAAGTTGTGAGGCCTTTTCAGACGTACACAATTTAAATAACAAACAAATATTTTGCAAATCTCTCTTAATGGTCGTTTGCTTTATTCATAAAACTACCGAAAATAAAATTATTACATTGCACTTAATCGGCTGTTGTCTTCAATTTTTTATTTAAAAAGAAAAAATGTCACAATTTTAGAAAAAAAAATCATGAAAATATTCTGTAAAATTGAATGAAAATAATTTTGGCTAAAGTATCTATGAAATTTTGGCAAAAATTCACAAAATTTTTCATCCGAACTATGGGATTTCGGTAAATATAATTGAACTGCTGAGAATAAAAGGCTGATGATTGCAGGTTTTTCGCAAAAGCGGGATAAAAATCAGTCGCACGCAAAAGAGACATTTCAAAAGGTTGCACGCAAACGGAACATTTTATTCTGTCGCATTTCGAATTTTCAAGCCGTGACTACAACAACAATATACTTCTCTCTTGCGTGCAACCTTTTGAAATGTCTCTTTTGCGCGCAACTGATTTTTATCCCGCTTTTGCGAAAAACCTGCAATCGTCAGCCTTTTATTCTCAGCAGTTCAATTGAAATTTCATAGTTTTTTCAACCAAAAAAATTGATGGTCAGTTCAAATGAAAAATTATGTGAATTTTTGCAGAAATTTTATAGATACTTTAGCCAAAAATATTTTCATTCAATTTTACAGAATATTTTCATGATTTTTTATTGAAAATTTTTGATCATTTTAATTTAAAAAAGTGTGACATTTTTTCGGTTAAAATAACCAAAAAATCCGTGACTATTCTTGTCATTCATTTTGCAAATAAATATATTACTTCAAAGTTACTTTACTTTGATGAAATACATTTCATGTAGTGCGCCAAAAAATAGTTTGTTGTGAAACAACAAAATAGATTAAGTAACTAAAAACTCAAGAACGCAGAGCGGAGCGAATAATGTATGTGAGGTACCAGTAAAATACACTATTCGAGGTTTTGGCCAAGATGAATTGCCATTATTTTGTAAAAATAATCCAAAAGAACCCTCATTTACCCAATATTTTAGTCAAAAATCAAATTTTTCATTTTTCTGCGTTTTGGCGTTTTTATTTTCTGTGTTTTATCCGGATACCTTTGTATTATTGCCCGAATGCGTTGTTATTGTTCATATTCACCTTGAACAATATGTTCTGGAAGTGGGTTTTGGTGGATCTTCAGGATGGATCAGACTGGGTTTGACAATGCCCTGGTCCATCCTGAGGATCCACTTCCAGAACCAGGATCGGTTTTGAACAATCGTGAGGATCCACCAAAACCCACTTCCAGAATTTTTGGAGCGATAATGACGTCAACAGATTAGACGTGGTTCTGCTGACAGTCGGTTTATTGAACAAAATTGAGCAAAATTGAAATTATGCATACATATCTGTTTAATATGTTGAAACATAAACAAATTCATATTATTTGTTCATATTTTAAATATGGAAATCGGCGTGAGGCCCCTAGGTTTCTACTACTCATCGGACATCTTTCTTTGTTTGCCTGCAACCAATGCATTATGATTGTGTTCATTGGAGTTGTGTTGCAGAATGACAACATTTCTGTCTGATGGCAAGAACCATGGGTGTTGAATGTCATTCAACGCCACTAAGCTGTGGACATCTCTCTCCGGCTATACGGCAAACAACAGAACCAACACTGAACATGAAAATGACATGTTCAATTGTGTTTGTTTCGTTTGTTTCAACTGTGCCGCTACGAGAGGTCACTTTTGTCGTTTTTTGTTGTTATTTTACATGTAAAATCAATGGTATTAGACGAGGATGGCAAGAACAACACATATTGATTTGCACGATAGGGCTTCAATGCTTTTGGTGTTTTTTTTATACCTAAAATAACGTTTTTGGCCAATGTCAAGGATTTTATCATCGTATGGAACAAAGCCTTCACTTTCTAAAAAGTCCAGCGCTTCATCCAAACCAGCTAGACTATCCCATTGAGTATGTGTTTTCCAATTGATTTTATTTCTGTGTTCACTTCAACTGCACTGACATTTCCAACGGAATCTGAAGCAAGCTCTATCAGTACGTGATCATTACAATCAGAATCTTGTCCTTCTGTTTCAAACGATAAATCGATAAAAGCATCTTTCATGCCGACTCCGCTTTTATTAGATGCTCGAACATCTTTTGTAGTTGAACGTGTTTCCTGGAGTTAAAAAAAGATTTTTTTATGAATTCAATGAATTTATTTGATGTACCAATGAAAGAGCTACAACCTTTTCGATGCCCCCTTCATTGCTTTTTGATTTGCATTGTCCATTTGAAGCGCTCGAAATTGGTCTAATGTCCCTATCCGAAACATTCGTGGCCTTTGTTTTCACTGCGTATTTTGCATTGCTTTTCGATGTAAATTGACCTTCATTCGAATGATCGTATTGACACCTCGTTTTTTCTGATGAAAAATAATTCAATGAATATTTGGAAACACATTGTAAGTAGTATCTCTCGGGAAAACCTTTTTAGTCTCGGCATTAGTACAGCTTTTTGGGTCTGATACTTCTTGCTGTTGTCGCTTTTGCTTATTTGCAGTGGATTTTTTCCGCTCAGTTACAGTTCCATTGTCCATGTCAGCATGTGACCTCTTTGAACCTTTTGAATTGTTTTTAGTGATCTAAAAACACACGAATAGTCAATGTGGTGTTTGCACTTTGAAAAACAAAAACGAGCGATCGATACCTTTTCAATGACTTCTTCACTGTCTTTTTATTTAATTCAAAACTGTTTAATTAAAAATAAGTAAAAAGTTTAACGTTATGAAATAAAACTGATTCTTTGTCAAATTTGCAATTGAATTTTCATTGAAAATGACATTGAATAATTTATTTGATTTTCATAGCCAAAAAAAGCTATAGACCAAGAGCTGAGGAACAAAGTACTTACTATACAAGCTTCATGTCAGATAATGGAATTGTAGGTGCACATTAAGGCTAATATTCAAAATATCAATTTGTTTTATCTTCATTTGATACACATCACAATATCTGCTCGCCGATAACAAGAAAAAAAATCGCTTCACTTTTCGCTCAAGCTTTAAGGCAGATTTTTTGTTTACTTATAAATTCGCAAAGAATAATTCAAACACAAAAAATCTGCTCCAAACATTGTACACAACATTTTTTATTTCACATCAAAGTCTCATTCAATTCAAAGAAGTGAGGTTATGTTGTGATCATGTCAAAATGGATAAAATGCATTACAAGCACATAAACTCACTTCTTTGAATTGAATGAGACTTTGATGTGAAATAAAAAATGTTGTGTACAATGTTTGGAGCAGATTTTTTGTGTTTGAATTATCCTTGTACGAATTAAGTAGGTTTCCTTGTACGAATTATCCTTGTACGAAGTAAGCATCTGACGTCGAAAAATCTCAAGCAAATGAAAAATTCAGTATTCTCCACCAGGCATACAAGATTTTATCTGATCCTGAAAAAAAGAAACAGTACGATGCTGGTGCTAGAGTACTTTTTGGACATCCGACAATATCTGCACGATAGGATCATTTCATCAAACCGGTCACCAAAGATGCAATAGCCTTTGCCCGAGAAAAATATCAAAATTCTCAGCAAGAAAAGTGTGACATACTTCGTGAATATAATAACGGGAAAGGCAGCATGACTCACATGATGAATGATCTGCCATTCATGCGAATGGAAGACGAGCCTCGTGTCATTGCAATTATTATGCGAATTGTCGTAATGGTTCGTGCTGAAAAATTTAAAATTAAAAAAATCCCGAAGCAATGACAATTCACTGGCGATTGCATTGACTATTCTGTCATTGATTGATTTCATTCAATAATATTCATTTGATTTCAAAAATGTGTTTTTAATAGAATAAAAATAAACAAAACAAGTTTTCAAGAGAGCGTTTTGGGAATATTCTTCATTGTTATATGAACACAACTTAACCTTCACTCCGTGTTTGTGTCTCACACCATATTCCCGTGTATCGGGCATACAGTGCCCGTAGCGCATTTTTTATGAAAACTGGACTGTGCTAAGAGATAAATATATGGTAATTTTGGTGAAGTTGTAGGGCACCTTGAGCACTACAACTTTGCTGAAGACATCAAGTCGTTATCTCTTATCAGTTTCGCGGAATACGCGAAAAACCGCGGAAAAGGCGAGTTTTTTCTTATCATTTTTCACGGAACTGATAAGAGATAATGAAATGGTTTTTTGGCAAAAATGTAGAGCCGGTTGAGAACTACAATTATTCCGAAGACATCGTTTCGTTATCTCTTATCAGTTCCGTGAAAAATGATAAGAAAAAACTCGTGCTTTTCGCGGTTTTTAGCGTTACTGATAAGAGATAACGACTTGATTTCTTCGGCAAAGTTATAGTACTTGATTCACTCTACAACTTTGCTTCAGATACTAATTCGTTGTCTCTTATCAGTTACGCAATATACGCGAAAAACTGCGAAAGGTCTCCCACCATATGGGGTTTATGATTAACCCGGGAGGTCCCAACGTTACCATATGGTAACGCAAAAGGTTGGTCGACTTTTTGATGGCTAGCTCGTCACGAACGCAACCAAATATGACAAGTTAAGGATTTTTAGGTTGGCAAAAGTTGCCGCTTTCCATTATTATATGGCAAGCGTCAGTATGTGTTCGAGTGTGAGCCAGAGAAGACGCTAAAAATTTTTTTTTTTTGGAAAGTGAAAAAAAATCGATTTTCGCAGACATGTCGAAGTAAGTCATGATATATTTTCAATATTTATTATCAGAATTCGATAAACTTGATATCAAACGATAGCTAGAGACATAAATTTTAAGAATCAAACAAGTTTTATGTACATCGAAAATATTTTCGTGTCGTTAGAATCCGTCAAAATGATGCGTTACCATATGGTAACGTTGGGACCTCTAGGGTCCGTGTTGAGGTGAACAAAAAAAAAAATTTCCACGCATTTTCTCATGCATACGCTTGTATGTTCTTGTGTTTTTTTACATTTCAAACAGAAAATTATCATTGAAAGATGCCGTCGATTATTTGGAACAGCTAATTGACGAAGAAGAAGAAGACGATTTCATGCGAGATATTGATGGAATTTACATTGAACCACCCGAAGATGACGGTAATGTGAGTGGTGAAGACGAGGCAAATGAGAATGAAGGAGGTACAGTCGACGCATTGTCTCGCAATCAGTTGAATGCCGGCTGTGAGTTGGTTTTACGAAACGGTGTGCACACTGAAACATTCGATATTGAAGAGTCAGCACAAAACGAAAATGAAAACGTTGAATATGTTCTCGTCGATGTTATTCATGAATCACAATTTGATTTATCAAAAGATCAACCAGCTCAAGTTATTCCGTGTGAAGCAATGGAGGTTTCAAGTAGAGAAGATGAACAAGAAGGAGCAGCGGGTCCTATTCAATTGCCAGACATTGTCATTGAGCCATGGGTCAACCGATTGAGAAGGGCATCGTCCACTCCTTCGAATGTTCCGTTGCCCCTCTCAAACAAAGACACAACATTCAAGTGGCTAAAACAAGGCGACAGCGCTGCCATTCCAGTTTTTCCTGAACCGAATTTCGACGATTGCCGTGATGTACAACCTCATGAGCTATTTGAACGATTTTATGACGATGATTTGCTGCAACATATTTGTGATTGCTCAGAACGATATTCCGTGTTGCATTTGCAGAAGCCAGTCAACGTTACGGTTCCAGAATTGCGTGCTTTCATTGGCATTCTATTGGTGACTGGATACAATACAGTTTCGAACATCAAAGCATACTGGAATAGCTCAGATGATCTTCGCAATGAAATGATATTCCAGACGATGCGACGCAACAGATTCCAAGAAATACTCCGAGTGCTACATTTCGAGCCGAATTTGAATCCACCAGCAAATAACAAGGATAAACTTTGGAAGCTGCGTCCGATAATGGATCATTTGAAAGCGAACTTTCTGAAGAATTTCCATCCAACACAAAATCTATCATATGACGAAAGCATGATCGCTTATTATGGTAAACATGGCTGCAAGCAATTCATCAAAGGCAAGCCCATTCGTTTCGGCTATAAAGTTTGGTCTCTGTGCACACCGTCTGGTTATTTGGTAAATTTCGAAATTTACCAAGGCTCAAACCCGCGATCAAACCCGAAGTACGAAGAGAGATTTGGCAAAGCATCGGCGCCACTTTTGTCCATGATTGACGACTTCCCCGATGAATTGAAAGGATTGCCATTTGGATTCTTCTTCGATAATTTGTTCACTGGTTTTCCATTGCTTGCATATCTGAAAGCCAATGGCTACAATGGCACAGGAACAATGCGAGAAAATCGGATCGTTGCAAGTTGTCCAGTCACGAGTAAGAAGGTGTTCAAAAAGAAACCACGTGGCACCATTGAGGCCGTCAAAATGCAGCAAACCGGCATTAGAGTGACACAATGGGTCGACAATTCCGTTGTTGCTGTCGCTTCGACATGTTTTGGATCTGTGCCAACATCAAGCGCGGCACGTTATTCCAAACAAGCTGGAGGCCGAGTAAATGTTGTTCGACCATGCTCCGTAACGGAATACAACAAATACATGCCTGGTGTTGATCGCTTGGATCAAAATGTGAACAACCATCGCATTGGCTATCGTGGGAAAAAGTGGTGGGCTTCAATATTCACTTGGCTCATCGATGTAGCTGTGAACAACGCTTGGCAATTGCAACGCGGCACAAAAGTTCTCTCTCAGCTCGATTTCAAACGTGAAATTTCAACATACTATTGCAAACATTATGGTTCGCCTCCGATTCAAACTGGTCCACGAAAACAGCGACGTGAGGAAGACATCACTCGGAGCCTTCGGTTCGATGAGAAAAATCACTTTGTCGCTCCAAGCCCGACAAGATGGCGTTGCGTTGGCGACACATGCAAATCTGTTGGTCGCACAATTTGCATGAAATGCAATGTTGGTCTGTGTGTGTCATGTTTCGCAGGATACCATACTCGTAGCGGCACACCATCTACCAGCAATCGGTCCCGTAGTGCCACACCACAAGCCGAATAACTTTTTTCTTTCATTTTTTTTTCGCATATTTCATTTCAATATCATTCAAAATTATTTCTTTGTATTTCAAAATAAATAAAAACGCGTTTTCATGCTTTTCCGTTCATATACTTCATGATTTTCCATTGAAAAAAAAAAATTTGTTCACCTTGACACGGACCCTAGAGGTCCCAGCGTTACCATATGGTAACAGCCGGAAAATCGCCATAAAAAGTTTTTCCGGCCCGGAAAATTCAAACCACCTATTTTTTCGGAATCTACGGGTATTGTATGCCCCAATACACGTACGGCGCACATGTGTTATAACCATACATATCTCACACATGCTTACATCATATGAAAATGAAATTTTACTGGTTTGTAGCTTAAGAGTCAATCTATCGAATGGTAGTATATTTATGATAATTTTTTTTTATTTTCGTACTTTTATTTATATTTGAAGTTTGCCTCGGGCACTGTATGCCCAATACACGGAGTTAAGGTTAATATGACATAAGCACAATCTGTTCAACAGAGTGCATTATGCTCTGTTCACACGTCAATGTTCATACTTTCTAAAATCGAAATCGTATTTCGAAAACTACCGGCATGTTGAAATGTCATTGTTTATAGAAGATAATCAAACAGCGTCATTGTTCATATTCATTGGAGCTATAAACACATTGTGCAAAGTGAAAAGAAAATTGTTTAATTGTGAAAAAACAAGGAACGGTCATTGATTTATTGCAATGCAAAGGCCAACTTGCTGCAATTGTGGCAAAAATCATGCCACAACCGAATGAGATTTTCCCAACTATTTGACCAAGTGTGCTACATGCTTGGTAGTTTCCTTCGATGGTCGTGGCCACACAAGCCCTTGCAACGAGCAGCGTTAGCAGTTTCCGAAGCGATATCTACGCACAGATTCCGATACCAATCTTCAAATTACGGATTGGGAATCAGAAGGATGTTCTGCATTTCTTCAATCCGACTACGAGCCAATTTGAGCGAATTGGCTAGGGGTATTTCTCACGCAAAAAATTGAAACGAATGTGCAAGAATTTATGTTATTTCTTCTTTTCTATTAAAATGGTATAAAAATGTTTGAAATTGTCTGGAATTGTCAAATTTAATGTGCTACATTCCATTCAATTCTATAACATTTTGGTGAATTCACTGCAATTTGATAAATTCGGTTCTGTTAGCAAGTACAAATCTTAAGTACATACCTAAGCTTAAGTATGAAGATTGTCACCCTTAAGTACGTACTTAACGTACTCTTTCGTATGCAGCTTAACTACGTACTTGAGGTTAAGTTTGCTAAGTATTACGTACTTAAGCTTCGTACTGCGAACGTATTTCACACATTCAGTGTAAATGTGTATTCATTTACCCGAATTGATAGAAATGGAAGGAATTTTTCAATATTCATTGGAATTGTTCCATTTTTTAAGTGAGAAATCCCCCTAGCGAATTGGTCCAAGTTCATTGCGCATTGATGCCCACGCGGTCGATGGAACGTTTGATATAAAACGAAACTTAAAGGGTCAATTTGTCATCGGTTTTGATGCGACAGCATTGAAACGTTTTTCATTGATCATCGCATTTTTCTCCGAAGGAGCTTGGCGCCTCCGATGCCGCGTTGTGGTCACACTTAGCAACGGTTTGCTGTGTTTCCCATTGCATCGAACCATGGAATATCAAAATGGTGTCTACACAATGCCAAATGATTTCAGACCTAAACACCGTTATGATTTTGGGCATTGCAGCTGCAGACAAAGAAAGTATTGTTGTGAAAGGTGTTTGCAAACGGAACTGGAATCGTGAACGAGGATGAAAATTTCAATGGATATTTCGGCTCTTTCAAATGGGATCTTGCAAAGGATACAGTCACCGTTACCGAATCATTGGCCGCAAATCAGCACACAAACAATCTCATGTACTCACACAAATTATTTGGGGTAAGAACTTATATTTTATTTATGATAAAATTTATCTAATACATATCCGAATGTGTCTAGATGCGAAAAATTCAGTCGATTGTTACAGTTCCATTGACACTGCCATCAAGTTTGACAACCGTTAGAATGACAACACGCAATGACAATGTTGCTCCGATCGCTGGAACATCTCGTTCAAACCAAATCGTCAAATTGTCGTCACCACCGTCGATTGGTGCTCAAGCTGATCAAGCACAGGTATATTTTCAATAATTTATTTCTCACAGTTATTTTGTCATTGCCGTAATCAATTCTTTTCTCGCCAGGTCGCGCACAGCCATCGGAAATTGACATTACACCGATTGTTCATCCATGGCTGAATTTAAATCAATAAGTCACACTACGAATTTTCCAGCCATTTTCTTACATTTCATACTTTATTTTTTTGACGTGGCTCTGATTGAAGCTCATTCATTGACATCACGCTACGAATTTCTCATACTTTCCTCCATTTCATACAAATATTTACGAAAAAATTTACTTAGTTAAAATGTTACACAAAAATGTCATTGATTAAATTCATTGAATAATAATTTTTCATTGTTGATTTCTTCATAAAAAATGAATTTGGTCATTTTTCGGACGATTTCAGTAAAATTTCGGAAGATTTTCGGTAGAATTTCGGACGATTTTTGGGAGAATTTCGGTAGTTTTTTGGATTTTTTCTTCATTTTTAGGACGTTTTTTGGGAAAATTTGGGACGATTTTTGTATGTTTTCGGACGATTTTTGTATGTTTTCGGACGATTTTTGTGATATTTCGGAAGGTTTTTGTTTCACCCAGTTTTTGGATACTTGTTTTCATGTTGCATCGCAATAATGACCAATTGATTTCGGTTTGGTATCTTTTGTCTAACTTCATCAAAAAAGAAACAAAAAAATCAGTTCATTCAACTTGCTTATTAAACATTTTGTCGAGATAGCTTATTATTTCCGTCCACATTTTTTGATTTGATTACAAAGTTCATTCTCCAAATATTTGACTGATTTGCAGTTCTTTGATTAAAGTTCAGTTTTTTCAATACTTGATTATTTTGCATTTTTGAAAGAGAAGTAAATCTTAAGCCAATTTTCCATAAAATACATGAACGTACTGTTGTTTTTTTCTGAAAATTCTCATAAATATCCTAGACATAATCTGAATAAAAGCTGAACGCTATGAAAACGGTGCGGAAAAGTTCGTCTTACGGAAGTAAGACTATTTATTCAAATGGTGCTTTTAAATTCTATTATTTCCCATCGAAATCAATTCATCTTCATTACAGTTTCCTACGCAAGTGAATCCGAAATTGAAGTTGATTACACCACGATTATGCTCCGCACTTGATAAGGCGAAGGTGAAAAGAATGAGATTGAAAAATTGAGATCATTTCAAACTCTTCTTTTTCTTCGTTGTGATCAGGTAACGGGCAGAGATGCGATGCATTTATTGACCGCAACGGTGCAGGCTTTGGAGGTTCCTCTCGATGATTCGGTCCTGAATCGTACTTCAATACAAGAGTCACGTCAAGCTAATCGCCACATTCAATATGATGAAGCAAAATCTAACTTCATCGACAACGTAATACGTATTTTACATATAGAGTATATTGTATATACAGGCCTGCCACTGATTTTTTTTTCTAAAAAAGCTGAAAAAGCTGAT